CCCCCCTTTCCAATTCCCGTAATATTATATTATTCGCTTAAAATAATAACATGACATTTATATTATGCAAATCCGTGTTACAATCATTGTTCTATAAGCGTTACTTTTACATAATAGTATTCATGAAAAACATGCGTACACACATGTGACATAATAATCAAATACGGTACAAGCGGACCTTTTCCGGAAAAAAACGTACGTGTCATTTTACCGGTGCAATCAAAATTAGACTAGATCTACATGTTATGTAGCATAGATATCTATCAGTGTATAAAGTGCGAGATGGCATATTCGTGTGTGCCGCTCCAGGATCGACTGTATCGTCACAATGCCGTGCTTGCCGCTCTAGATCTAAGTGAATAGTATTGCTACTCTTTTTTATGTGTTGTAAAAATAAAAATATGTTGTCATAAATTATTTTCCTTGTTATATTTTCATGGTCCTAGCCTAAGATTAGAAGTCTTTCCATCTATCTACCTGGTGCTACGGAACCAAGCAAGCTAAGTACATGTAATCAGACGGTCGTGTTTACGATTGATTTACTTTAGATCTAGATCTAGCTAGAAAGAAGGTGATTCAGTCCAAACAGAACTATTGGGGAGGTCGGGACGCGGGTTTGCTCGCCAGATTGATGGCCCAAAGTGGCTATCGTGGCACAAGATGATGGCGCCCGACTCTTGCCTCAGAAACATACACGTTGTTTTCAGGCGTCGAGTCGGGCGGACCTGCCCCGACCCGATCTGCCCCGACCCGATCTGCCCCGACCCGATCTGCCCCGACCCGATCCCATGTGCAATGGGCACTGGGCACCCCCTAGATTATGACCGTATGCAGTTGCGAGAGCCGAAACGAAACAGGCCCAGCGTGGTGTTAACTACAAAGAGTACACTCACCTCGTCATATATGCGGTTCATCTTATGATCCTCAAACCAAACAGTCCACGTTGTCATGACGGACAGAACTCCACCAGGTTTCAGCATTCGGTCTACTTCCGCGTAAAAACTGGAATAATAATGATACTACTACTGATGATGATGATGATGATGATGATGATGATGATGATGATGATGATGATGATG